TGCTACAATTATACTACTAATATAACTGCAGCATGGCTTTACCACGTATAAAAACCTCTGAAGTTCAAGATGGTAATTCTAATAACTACACTGGCTCTCCATACCCTTCACACTTGAATACAGCCGTGTAAACATTGCTATTTGACGGCACAGGTAAATAGGAGATTGGTTTCTGCCTACAGGGACTCCTGGAAAGACAAAAAACCTTACTTGGTAGATAAAAAAAGAAGACTTTCCTTCCGCCCGCAGCACATCGATCTTCATCTCCGAACAAGAAACTCTTTATTTGTTCGGTGTATATTCTGTTACAGATACACTTGACAATTGGATGCATTCGACGTTGATTGCCTCGTCGTTTTATTGGTCGTTAGTGCAAATGCTAACCACGTGGTCTCGGGATCGAAGCCCGAGTTGGGTTATGGACTTTTTCCACACGAAATTTCCAGTCAGTGTCAGGATGTTAGCGGCTGTTCAAAGCTGTGCCTTAGTTGGTCTTGCGTCTGATCTCTACGGCCGTATCGATTGCTGTCTTATCGGACAATGAGGGTGACGGGATGAATTACTTGTGTTTGTGCATACACTCGTGCGCTGTACTAAACTGGTCGCTACGAACGAAGTTTCGTTTAAAGGTCTCTAATATTTGATTAATACTAAATTAATCAAATATTAGATTAAATTATTACTACATAAAAGTCTAAGTCTGTTTTTGTTTTTTGCAAAAATTGGTAGTAACAGGCATTTAACCTAGTAAATTATAGTTTGTGGTGGGAGTTTTTGTTAAACATATTGGTATTGTGAGACTTTGAACCGTTTCATTTTACTCCAACCTCAGAAACTTTCTTACTATCCTTTTGTATTTTCTGTTAAGTGTATAAGTTTTAGGTTATTAAAAATATTGTTTGGGACAATTCTAATATTAAAGATGACTATGGGGACTATGTATATTTTTTCTATATCCATATTCTTCCAATTTCTTCCCTCAAATATGATAATAGGTGAGTAAATATGTATTTACATATTTACTCAGCTATAGTTTTTAACGTTATGCGTGTTTTGATATCAGTTTTAAACTTTTATATTGTTATGGATTTGAATTTGTGTAGCTAAAGCTTAGATATTTACTGATGCCTTTACCTTGCTGTAACGATGTCGTTATGACGTATTCAGTAGCGTCGTTAAATTCTAATCTGTAACGTATTCAAACAACACAATTGTACTTTTCAATGGGTGCATTTGGCAGAAAAAAGCGCTTGTAAGCAAAATGGCGAAACTAAACAGTTTTCAGCCAGGACACGTTCGCTAACTTCAGTAGCGCTGACACAATCCGCCATTTTGCTTATTTAATTTGTTTGTTTTGAAGTAGAGTTTATAAGTTGTTTTGAGCAATATTAGTTTTAAGTAATACAATGACATGAATAAGCATATTATACATGTTATTAAAAATTCACAATTGGTAAGTTTTTAATATGAATACTTTACAAACATATATTTAAATTAGGTTAGATTCCCCGATTAAAACTAACATCGTGTTCTGGAGGAAAATAGCTACTTACGATTTGACAGCGCTTACCGCTTACGATCGCCATTTAGCTTAAGAGCACTTGCTAGCACTTTTTTCTGCCAAACGCACCCATTGACACAAGAAAGTATTCAAAATAGTTTTGTTGGTTGAGTTCAGTAATTGTGTCCATTGTCAGTTACAACCTATAAAAGTTCACTGCTCAACATATGCCCATAGATTGTCTTATAGTAGAAATTTGGGCACTTTACACAAATTTTCAGCGTTTGCTTACTGTACTAAACGAATATGCTTCCAGTTCTTTAAAACTATGGGTTTATTATGTCATTTTCTACACTCGTTTCAACACGTAAAACGTACTACAAGCTGCCGAAGAACATTAGTAAATTTTTACCATCCGTCAAATGTAATATCCCTCTACAAGATGCAGGAGTGGACAAGTTAGATTGTGAATGTGGTCTCTCTTACTTAGGTCAAACAAAAAGATCCATAAAACCCGCGTGAAAGAACATATAGCTGACGTGAAGCACTGACGCTCCGGGAAGTCTGCAGTCTGTGAACATGTTCAAGATCGTTCCCACCATTACATCCGATTTGATAAACCACAAACTCTCGCAAAAGAACACCGATTCCCAGCAAAAAAACACCCAAATTTCAATAGAGAAGATGGATGGGTACTGCCATCTGCTTGGGATCCTATAATTAACAAAATAAAACCCAAAGCCAATTATACCACTGCAAGACTTCAAGATACTGTAAGCTCGTTCTGCGTAGATCGGACCAAAAAATTAATATTAAAAAACTGAATGTAAAGCACCCGAAACTTCGGGAATTAAAAATAAGTAAATTAAACGCGATAAAATCCATAAATATAATTTTATTCAATAAGATTATCATATTATTGGTTAAAAAAATGACAAATCATTAAGAGGCCATTAAAAACGGGGGAATGAAAGTAAAAGTAAGACGAAAATTATTGTTTCTGACAGAAGAAAGTAAAACGATATGTGAAATAAAAATAGAAAGGGAGTTTTTCGAGCGAATGGATGAGTTTGTGTTTTTAGGATGTAACGACTAGTGAATACGGGGCACAGCGTGTGGAAATAATAGTAACGAAAAAAAAATTAAAAACAAACTTTTATTTAAATGCGGTCCGCTATCTTAGTCGGTCTGCCATTAGATTTAGAATGATTTCACTTAGCTAACCATTAATTTTTATCCAAACTAAACGTATACGCAAATTTTCAGCTCAATCGATTGAGGATAACTGCTTTAAAATTCAGTTGCAAAATTTGACTCGATCAAACATACAAACTTAAAAGCTTGTAAATAACGGATACCTGAGGAGATCGTTTCACCGTTCCTTCTCCGAACAGAGGAACCTCAGTTTGAAACGGAAGAAAATTATATAAATAAACACTTTTGACAGAATATATTTTAATTTCCAACTTCGAAAGATAAAGTATTTTTATATAGAATAATTTGAAAAACGAGCACACAGTTCACCTGATGGTAAGTGGTTGATGTGGCGCATAGACATCTACATCTATCCACGATAAAGAATCAAAATGCAGATGCGTTGTCATCCGTGAGGACTTAGGTAGAACGCCTCGTTTCCAGTAAAAAGGGTCTACGGTTCTCTACGCTCACCATACAAAACACAGCAGCATTAAGCTACTACTATTTGACGCAGGTATTCTGTGAGAGCGCGGTCCTTCCCCGGTCGATCCGACCCATTCGTGCTACAACTATAATATTAACACGTTCATGCACGCATACCATAATAGTCGTCTTATAGGCCGTGGTGCATGATTACTCCATACAAAGTTTGAGGGCGTCCATACTCGTATCGCCGTATCACAAACAAAATATTCCATATGACTTGTCGGTAACGTCAGTAAGCGTTGACGTTCAAGGACGCACCGGTATATTGCTAAAATTATTATCCATCAAAGGGGCAACAACGTTTAGGTACGTCTACGTTACCAGCCGTTCTGTTCCGATTTGTGGGTATTTTAGACCTTACAGATTACAAGAACGTCGTTAAACGTCAATGTCGGTACACGTTCTGCTTTCATCTCTAGACAAGATCCCTACACTATATTCAACAACGTTAAACAACGTCAACGTTTACAGCCGTTCTGTTACTAGTTGTCAAATATTGATACCATGATAAGAAAGCAGCGTCAATGCACGTTGACGTTCATAACTGTTGTTCCACAAATATCTAGTAGAACTTAAAGTTTTGGGAAACAACGTTTAATTACTCCAACGTTACTTGACGGTCTGATCATAAATCGACTATACGAGCAAATTATCTGTCGCTCATCGTTTCCTGACGTTGACTTTGATTTATAAAAATAAAATAATAAACAGGATTTGATATGGAATAATACTCAATAATCATCAGTTTTTTGTTATATATTTTTAGAAAATCAACTATTTTTCAAAAATTACCTACATATCACATTTTGTGTCAATATCTACCCTCTTCTCGACTTAATTGAAAATAATTTAGGTGCAATTGTCCATAAATTTCTTCCAAGTTTTAGTTTAATAAAATTTACTTTTACTTCCTATCCTATGTGTGAGTAACTTTTTCAAATTTTACGCTATTATCACATATCGATCAAATAATACTATGGTAAGTTTGGTTTATCCCATAGAAGTAACGAATTATTTCTCAAAATAAACAGTTTCTCACTACTATCTTATCAATAAATTACCACTATAGCACAATAACAATCAGTCTTACACAGTTTTGGTATAACATTGGTAGCAAAAAATATAAAAATTATAAATACTCACTAACTTTTACCTACCTATCATATGAATGAGTAACCTTTTAACATTTTACGCTACTATCACAAAATCAAATAATACTCTGGTAAGTTAGGTATTTTCTATAAAAGTAACAAATTATTTCACAAAATTAACAGTTGCCTGCTTCTATCTTATCAATAGATTACCAGTATAGCACAATAATATTCAGTCTTACACAGTTTAGCAGATTTAGTATGTTATAATCGTAGCAATAAATTATAAAACTTCTAAATACTCATATGCGTGATACAGTTATACTTATTTGATATCACTCTCATAAAAAGGAACAAAATAGGTAAAAAAGCATTATACTTCTTTGTGCCACTCTTCGAAGCAAAGAGCACACAGTGCTGGCTTTTCAGGGCAACCTTTACATCTCAGGCAAGTCTCCCTTCTCACCTTTTTTTTCGTGCACATCTTGCATTTCAAGTACTTTGATGTTTTGTTTGAACCCTCTTGCACGGGTATTTTCTCAGGCCAGTGACCATGGACTCTTGAGCTTCCGACGTCGTCGTCAATGGTACTGACTGGAAGTGGCAATAAATTAGCTCTGATTCTGTTGTCATATTTGCTGCGAGCTAAAATCACTTGCTCTGCTGTTAAATCTGCTGGTAAGTCCAACAGTCTTCGAATCAATTCCTCTCGGAAAAGCAAGAAATCACAATTGGCTTGGCAGTATTTTTTTGAAAATAAAAAATGAGTTCCATACTGCGACATCCAACAAGTGGAACATCACTTTTTTATACCACCGGATTGATTTCCTTGGTGAGGAGTAATATGAGATCATTTGATCTGCTCTATCAACTCCGGACATGTGTTGATTGTATTCTGCCACTTCTGCGGGTTTAATTTTTCTTTGTTGAAATCTGTTTTGTATTTCTATAAGCCGAGGATGAACTGAAGTTGTTACCATAAGAACTGGTCGCTTGTCAACCCATTTTGAAACATAGACCTTATTTTTTCGTACCCACACATGTTGATTCTTCTTGAGTTTTTTCTTGATGATGTCTTTGGGATTATCTTTTCTGTTTGAACGTAAGGTACCTGTGGTGTGAGTTTTTAAGTCAACTAGCTTTTGCGAAAGTGTTACGGAATTGTAATAATTATCCATGTATAATTGATGTCCCTTCAGCAAATATGGCATAAGGACGATCTTTTCAGATTTTTTACCAGTTCGAGCAGTTGTGTCTTTTCCGGAGTACATCATTATATTTAAAACATAGCCATCAGAAGTTGTCAACTCGAAGAATTTGATTCCGTAACGTACTTTTTTGCTCTTTATATATTGTCTGAAGGCAAGGCGGCCTCTAAATAAAAGCAAAGATTCATCCAAACTTAACTGTTTGTATGGCTTATAGCACTCCATGAAGCTCTTGGTAATAGCATTAATAAATTTTTCAATTTTATCTTTTCCTTTTGAATCTAAATCTGATACATAAATACATCTCAAGATTTGCTCAAATCTTCTAGCGGACATCACATAGTGAAAAATTGGGTGATAATACAGTGGGTCGGAATACGTAAAATTTTTGCGTTTTTGAGGAATTTTGATTTGACCCATAAGCAAACATAATCCAAAAAATTTCAAGATTTCTTCCCGGTTTGTGTCCCTAAAGTTATAGCTACGTGAGTTTCGAGTAGTAGGTCTTGTTTTCTCGCATAGTGCTCGCCCGTACGTATTAGTACATGTTACAATATAGTCTACAATATTAGGATTAAGAATTTTATCAAATATTTCCATAACTGTCATAGCTGGGTTGACTTCAAACTGGACACCTGCTGAACTTTCATCAAACTCGAACGAAGGTATGTCTGTGTTCGTGTGTTCCCAATCATAATTTATCAGTGGAGGAGTGCTTGGTCTGCAATTGGTCGCTGGACTTATCTCGGGGAGTGTGTCAGGCACGGAGTTTCTTTCGGCGGCCTCTGGGTCCAGCACATGACAGATAGAAGGGTTGCGTTGTACAAATGCTTCCCGATCCAAAGCAGATGGAGTGGTAGGAGCAGAATTCGTTTCGGCAGCATCTCGTTCCGGCACAGGAGAGCCGGACAAGCCACGCTCTGCAACTACCTCCAGTGCAAGTGTGCTGGCCGGAGTTGAATATCTTACAGTAGCGTTTAGTTCTGGTGGTGCAGACGAGCTAGGTGAGCGGCACTGCGTAGCTGCGTCCAGGTCCAGAGCAGGTAGGTTGGAAGGCGCGGGATTTCCCTCAACAGCCTCCCGATCTGATGCAGACGAGCTAGGATTGCGGCGCTGCTCAACTGCGTCCAGATCCAGGGCCGATAAGTTGGCAGGCGCGGGATTTCTTTCAGCAGCTGCTGGATCCGGTGCAGGAGAGCCAGGAGAGCAGCGCTGCGCAGTTGCGTCCAGGTACAGGGCAGATAATTTGACAGGCGCGGGATTTCCCTCAACAGCCTCCCGATTCAGTGCAGGAGAGCTAGGAGAGCGCTGCTGCGCAGCTGCATCTAGGTCCAATGCAGGTAGGTTGTCATGCGCGGGATTTCCCTCAGCAGCTGCTGGATCCGGTGCAGGAGAGCCAGGATAGCGGCGCTGTGCAGCTGCATCCAGGTACAGGGCAGATACGTTGACAGGCGCGGGATTTCCCTCAACAGCCTCCCGATCCAGTGCAGGAGAGCTAGGAGAGCGGTGCTGCGCAGCTACATCCAGGTCCAAGGCAGGTAGGTTGTCATGCGCGGGATTTCCCTCAGCAGCTGCTAGATCCGGTGCAGGAGAACCAGGAGAGTGGCGCTGCGCAGCTGCGTCTAGTTCCAGTGCACGTAGGTTGGCAGGCGCGGGATTAACCTCAGCAGCTGCAGCAGCATGGTCGTCTTCAGCACCTTGAATTTGTGGATTAGTATGGGAGTGACTTCCTTCGATATGTGAATAAATTGAGATATTTTCTAATACTGCAGGATCGAGTTGCACTGAAGAGCTTTCAAGATTTTCTATATTATTTAGCAATGCCTCAGAATCTAACGACATAGTGTCGGTACTCTGATCTGCACTGGCGATCTTAGGTTTTTTGTATCTTGATCCTAAAGAGGAACTCTGCCCCTTCTTTTTTCTCTTTCTACTGTCAAAAATACTCTCATCACTAGATTCTGCCAATATCGAATTTGTATCATCCTCGTTGTCATCGCTATCACATACATCCGTGCACTCGCTAAAGCCTTCGGTTCGATCGTCAGAATCAGAGCTGCTACTTACACTGCTTTCAGAGTTGCGTTTACCATGTGACCTCGTTGCGTTGTCCTTGGAACGTTTCTTTAGTTGTTTCTTTTCACGTTGCTTTGTGTGATCACTAACAGTGCTAGTGCTGTCTGTATTATCATCATATCCTGGATCATAGTCGTTATCGGAACCATACTCTCCATCATCACTAAATGGGTCTGGTGTAGATGGCCTTGATGAAGAATCATATTGAAACAACTTCATGGAAGCATTATTACTAATTTGGCGTGATTTTTCCACCTACAACAAAAAACATAGCTATCATCTTATTCAGGACACAAAATGAGAACATATGCGTACATTTGAGATTTTTTTCAGAAAAAAACTAAAAATATAACTTACGGAATGAGTTTTCCTTGATATCCCACTTGGTCCAGCTTCACATTTTTCTTTGCAACCTACTTCAATTACTTTTTTCTTAGATGGCTTCTTCTGGCCTCTTTTTCTATTTCCCATCTATAAAATTCAAAAATTGCAGCATATATACTATAATGCACTCATAACAACTATCACCATATCCTACAAAACTATAGAAAACGAAAAAATAACTTACGATTACTTTCTCAAATGCACGGCCTGCGAGGGTTTTGTAGCGTAAAACGTGGGTCACTGTACCGGCGCGCAAGCAGACTGGCAGTATGGCGACTCTAACCAAAAACGACGTTTGTCGACGTTGTTCATGTGTGTGTAGGTACCTATCAATGTGTGTGTGACTTATGTTCAAGTAAGAAAAAAACTAATGTATTGTAGCGCTAGAACTTTGAAAATTTCACACGATGCGGCGCAATGACGTAGCTACCTAAAGATTATACAGAGATTTGACGTTACTAGCCGTTGTGCTTGGAAATTAAAATTTTCTTAGGACGTGATTATACTATGTGCGTCATCGCGAAGACATCAAATTGGACGTTATGTGACGTTATTAGAACGAAAGTGTTAATATAACTGCAGCAATGCTCTACTACGTAATTTTTTTTACGTGTAGAGCCATTTTAATTTTTTTCATATTATTTTTTATATTTGATTTTATCGTGTTTAATTTAAACTTTTTCATTACCGACGTTTCAAATGCTTTACAGCACCCATATTCACGAGGGAATGAAATATTTGACGTTACAATATCAAAATGGGCCTGGCTAACTTCAGCACTGCTGCTGGTCACCAGTCTTGTTCTTGTAGTCTGGCCTGCAGACCCTTTTTACTATAAACAAGGCATTCCATCTTAGTCCTCATGGTGAAAATGCATAAGCATTTTGATAAAAAAAAATTTTATTATTGATTACAAACAGCACCCACTTTCATCTGCTGCACTGTGTACTCGTTTGTTACGCTTCTTCCATGAAAAATATCTCATCACAACTAAGCACGTGGTAAATTAGTACGTGAAATTGCAATTTACAGTTCTATTACTGCCGGCGAGAAAAGAAACCCGATTACTTGCATACTGTGATACAAAGATTGCTTAGTCTTTCGTATTAAGTAATAAATTTATTGTATTATAAAACGTAAAAAAAATATTATTTGCAAAACCCATCGCTATTCCAGACGCTGCCTAACCTCGCCTAACGCCTTTCTTTAGCCCTTGGACCAGCACTTAATGTTTATCATCATCATCATCATTACAGCCCTTCACAAGTCCACTGCTGAATAAAGGCCTCACCAAAGGAATGCCACCAGGCACGATCCTGAGCCACCTGCATCAATCGACTTCCTGCATGTCTTACCAGGTCGTCACTCCACCTAGTAGGGGTCGCCCTACACTACGCCTACCGGTACGAGGCCACTCGAGAATCTTTTTTCGCCAAAGGTTGTCGGTTCTTCGAGCTATATGGCCGGCCGATTGCCACTTCAGCTTACTAATCCGTTGGACTATGTCGAACACTCTTTCGGTTCTACTGCGGATATCCTCATTTCTAAGTTTATCGCGCAGAAAAACCCTGAGCATAGCACTCTCCATAGCTCGCTGAGCAACTTTGAGTGTCCTCATACGGCCAGTAGTGAAGGACCACGTCTCAGTTCCATATGTCATCACTGGCAACACGCACTGGTTGTAAAATTTCGTTTTCAGGTTTTGAGGTATAGGAGGAGGTCGGACTATGTGTCCCAGGTAAACGTACTCGTCAACAACTTCGAGCTTAGTGCTCCCAATAAGTACCGGCATAGGTGTGACATGGACATTAAACATGATCTTTGTTTTGTCCATGTTCATCTTAAGAGCTATCCGTTGGGAGGCACTATTGAGGTCATTGAGCATAGCGCTTCGGTCCTCCAGCGATTCTGCCATAAGGATTATATCGTCGGCTAATCGAAGGTGAGTGATGTACTCGCCATTGATGTTAATACCGTATCCTTTCCAGTCCAGTAGCTTGAAAACGTCTTCCAATGCAGCGGTGAAGAGTTTTGGGGATATAACGTCACCCTCTCATACACCTCTCTGCAGTTGGATAGGTTTCGTACTCTGGTTCTGTACTCGGATAGCCATCGTAGCCCTACTGTACGAACACTTCAGCACTTCGATATACCGATAGTCAACTTGGCACCGCTGAAGAGATTGTAACACCGCCCAAATTTCGACGGAATCAAAGGCTTTCTCATAGTCCACATACGCCGGGCAAAGTGACATAGGCTTAATGTTTATATAGGAAGTAAATTCGATAAACAGCAAGGCATATAAATGAAAACCCAAACTTCTAACTTAAACATATTTACGGCTGGATAATGGTATTGTGACTGGCAAGTTTGCTACAAAGTTACTAGCGGACAAACGTCCGTTTAAAATTAGAGTTGTTGGAACGAGTGACTGTGATTTTATATACATTTTTAAAAGACAAATATTGAATGAAAAACTTTGAATAGACTTTGGAGCGTTGTACCACATAAATTATCTTTAACTTTTACCGTAATAGAAATAGGAGACTTGGTTGTGCAATAGTGTGTACTAAGAATGTGATTATTATTATTATAATATAAATAATATTTTTATTCAGACGTAGTCCATAGGGTTGTTTGTATAACAATAATATTTTCTTATAAGCTAGTGCTTTAAAAAAAAAACAATTAAGAGCACACCCCTTCAAATTACTAAGTATATTACATTTACCTTTTTACATGTGGTAGAGTTTTTTTACGTAATGTTTTATTGCACTATATCTACAAAAGTAAATAGGTCATAAAGACAGTAAATGTATCTAAAATATATGAAATTGAATTTGAATATGAATAATTGAAAATTGAATTGAAATAATTGAAATTGAATATTATATGAGCGACAGAATACACGTGGGTAATATACTATATACATATGGGAACTGATATACATGTGGGATTAAATAACTGGGGTAGAACCACTCTCTCAGAATACCAGCATAAAATAGTAGCTTAATGCTGCTGCTTTTCGTATGGTGAGTGTAGAGAACCGGAGATCTTTTTTACTGGAAACGAGGCATTCCGTCGTATACCTTAGGGGTGACAATGCATCTGTATTTTAATTCTTAATAGAACAAAGATTTAGAAGTCTATGGGCCACAGTATTCTGATTATAATCAGGTGAACTATGTTCTCGCTTAACCTTATACAATACCAAATAATAAAAATAACTTTAAGAAGAAAGAAGTCTGAATTCAGAGTCATTTAATAAATCAAGAACTATCCTTGATATATTAAATGACTCTGAATTCAGTCTAAATATTGATGCAGGAAAATGTTATCCTAAGTAAATTCAGCGACGATTTACGTAAAGCCGCTAGTAGCAAATGGATGCGTGAAGCTGTGTAGATGGCTAAGTGACGCGTCTTCAAAGGAGCATATGTTCAGCGGTGCTATTCTATCAAAAACAAAAGTAAATTAACAGCCTATATACGTCTCATTACTGGGCACAAATCTCTCATTTCTGAGACGGTTTTATAACAGTAAATAGAAAGTTCCTACCGCGCTACGAATGCGTGCGTGTTGACGGGAATCACAAAATACTTCGATTTTTTTATTTATTGAGGTGGGTATATGAAGATTTCCTCACGATGTTGTATTTCATCGCCGGTAAACCGGCACTTAAAATTGCAATTAACAATTCAATGATGCAGGCAAGGATTGTACCAGGACGGCACGCGTACTGAGAGGTTTACGTGTGTGAATTGTGACGTTCTTAGACCGCAAACAACCGTGTGGTGGCGGTGTAAGGATATCCACTACACAATACCGCCCCTTGGAGGTCGTCAGAGTTCACAGAGAGACACAAACAAGGTGATGAGGTTTCCGATCTTATAACCCTACAAAAAAAACTAATTCGATTAATATTTAACATACAAAATACTGATAGCTGCAAACCATACTATGTGAAACATAAAATACATTTTGGAAATCTGCAAATTCATTGAAAATACCCTGAATTTTATAGGAGACCCTTCGAAGAGAAAGCGATATCAGATACAAATTACGTCATAAAGAAAAACTTATTCTGCCAATATCTGACCTTAATCTACATTCATAATTCGACATGTCTATCAAAATTTTTAACAAACTCCTAGACTCGATAAATAAATATAGAAAAAGAAAAATTTTTATAACTAAATTAAAGGAATGTTTAATTTGTGAACACTTCTACACACTAAACGAATACTTATATGATAAATTTTAAATGCCTACCTAGTATTTGAATTCTACTTCATTATAAAAATATCTGCAGTTGCAATATTACATACGTAGTGTATTAATGACAAACTCAGCGCCAACGCAACCTCGTCGGCGGGAATGAAAGAAGGGCTCCCGGCCAGCGTACGACATTCGCGGCAGGACGGCGCTCAAGAGAAGAACAACAACCAAGAAGACCCCTCAGGCTCCGTATTAGGTCCCATTAGACATTAGATTAGTGATAGTTTGTAAGGTTTTTTGTACAATCTTTAATTTGACTCAATCCCTAGCAGTTTAAAATAGCAATAAATTCTCTCAGTAAATAATTAGTCATATAGATATCACAGTAACAGCACTGAATAAATAATAGTACTACGTACAGAAGTTGCGCTCCTTTGATGTCGACTGCTTACCGACGTTTAATAGCCTACATAATTATTATTAATCAGATAAATCGCGCACGCAAGCTAAATAAAATTTTATCGCTGCGCGCGAGTGCGTTCTCATTCCATGCCATGGCGGACTTTTCGTGGTTACTAAGGGCTATCAATTAAGAGTGAATTTTTTTTATTGCGAAATGTTATTTAAGTTAGGTTATGCGAAGTAGGTACCTATTATAAATATCATCGACTGATAATATATATAATAAAAATGTTCTCAACACCTTAACTATAACATAATGGATGCAATAAATAATATGAATAAGATGGACGGCAGCGTTTTCCCAATAGCAATTAGAAGACAAAACTGCTGTGCCGGCCCGCTCGCCACGAGGGGCAACAATGCCTTTGTTAAGCAGTTAACTTCCATAGTCTCTAATGGATTGTGAT